TTACACCAAACTGGGCCTGGCTTGTGTCAAATCCCTGAATTAAGGCATGTGACTCCCAGATAGGTTTACCTGATTAACGATTGATAAGATGGCTCCTCAGTGCTGGAGCTCTTTTCATTAGATTTGTTTTGTAGAAACAGTCTAAATGGGAATTCGGAATAATTCTGATATGTTGGGTTATAGAAACATAGATTAAAACTAACATCCACATTTCTAACCAATGAGATTTTGTTGTTCCAAAAGGTTTCTTTTTTCCCCCCTAGGGTTTAGCTGAGGACCACAGGGCTGTGGTCCATGTAGTTGGCAAAGAAAGAAATGTGACTTCACTCAAGCAGCATTTGTCTGGGTTCATTGCTAAATTCCACAAAAAAACCATCTGTAGTGCAGAGATATCAGCATTAAGTGATGAAAACCTTAAAGCACTTTGTGAAGATACCTCACATCAATATCCGGTTGTCTTTCATCTCCTAAGAGGGAATGTGGTTCAGGTTTGTGGTTCTCAAGAAGATGTTGAAAATGTTATCGGGAAGATTTACATAAAGTTAGAGGAAGCTCTCTTTACAAAGATCGAAAAAGCCCAAGCTGAACAAATAGATTCCAAGCTTCTGTATGAAACTGTCCGTTGGTATCATAAGACAGATGCTGGATGGTCTACCTTTGACATAATAACCAATCACAATCTGGAGCTGGCTTATGGCGAGAAGAAAATGTCAGCACTAGTGCTATGGGATGGAGCAAAAGTTAAGATCAACTTTCTGAAGTGTGAAGCCACCATGCCAGGCAACAAAAAAATCAGGATAAAGAGAGAGATCTGCTTATGGGGTGAGATGTGCATTACTGTATTAAAAACTCTCCTTTTCACTCACATTTTCTATTGTATTTTCCATGGAAGCTGTGTCTACTTAATTCTTATATTATTCCCATTTTCTATCCCTTTTCCGACCCCATTCTTTAGTGGGTTGCTTTCTCTTACATAGTGAATATCTATTTTAGTTGCTGTTTTAGCCAAGAGAAATCAATAGATGAAACTTTTTCACAACCCTGCAAATAAATAAATAGCACTGCCTGTTGATTCTGATCCATCATATTCCACGCTCTTCTTTATTCAATGTACGTTTTCTTCTGTGAGGGAAAACTTGTGTATTTTCAGCAGTATTAGATGAAAGGTTTACCATTCCTATAATTATTTTTGAAAGTGTTGTCTGTATTAATAGTTCAGCTTACCGGCATAAAAATCATGGATATTTTAAAAAGGATTATAAAGTTTCTCTGAGAATCTGGCCAAGAGGACATGTGGGCAAAGGCGTTAGTCAGCAAATACTAATATAACCAGCTTTATTTCTTATATTGTATAAATGTGGAAAACAGTTTTATTTTAGAGCAAAGCATTCCAAAGTGGGTTTATAAAGGTAGCGAATGTACTTTTAAATTTTCCCAGTGGCAGGTATGTAGTATTTAAATGCTATGTTTCTCTGAAAAAAGATGTATGTGGAATACAAGGCTGGCTAATACAGCTTGTAGCAGAGTAGCTCTCCTAATTACTGTATTTGTACTGCTGAGTTCAGTCTTGGTTCTGAGCAAGCAACAGGCTTAGGAGTCAAGGTGAGTTTCTTCACCCTATAGTTCTGATCTTGCAACTGAATGTTGGGCAGAGGTTCAGAGAATAGTCAGCACTGCCATGTAATTGACACATTTTGGTATTTAACCTTTTTATAAAGGAAAACTGGCAAGCAAAATATGCTGAGCTATGAAAGAATTTAGTAAAAAATGAACTGTTCCTTTGCATCAGTTGCATAGCCCATCCCAATGACATACATTATAATAAATCTTGGATCGAAACAAGTTTTCCTTTCTTAACCCTACCCCAACTTGAAGTACATCATGCTGCATTGCATGTCCAAGTTCAGGGTCATGATTGTCTGTATATCAAGAGTCTCAGTCATAGTCTGTAAAAGTTGTGTAGAAAACTCCCCTTTTGGTACCCTAAAGAGCAGCTTTTCCTATCTACTTTCTATCAGTGCACAGAATAGGTCAAAAACCGTTTTTCATCATAAAGAGCTATACATCTGTTTAATTTTGCCTAGACCCAGAAGGCTTCTGGCATCCAATGCAGTGACTACACCAGAGGTATTACACTCCTAAGTCTCCCTGTGACCTTGTGTCTGCTAGCAGCTGAGCTGTTGCTGCATTTGGGGCCAATTATAGGTTCAAAGTCATCTTCAAAGGCAGCCTCGTGTATAACATGTTGCAGTGGCCTAATTATGTGATGATGAAGACATGGATCACTGTTGTAATGGCTTCCTAGTCCAGAAAAACTGGCAAAGGCTGTGGACTATGGGACCCAGCCTCCTGTATCCAGAAAAGAGGCCACTGAGCTAAAAGCAAGGACCAACTACAAATCCAGGTCTTTCTTTTTCTGTAAAGGAGCAACCAGTGCTTCCCACCATATCACTTCCTGCTTATCACTCAAGATCATCCCAGACCATAATAGTAGCAGCAGTCCTATGTGGTGGCATCTCTCTCACATCACTTATATTTTTATGACTGTTTTTTAATGTATTTGTATTTGCATGTATTTGTTGTTTTATTGATTGTTATATGCTGCCCAGAGTTGCTTTTTGCGAGATGGGCGGCTATATAAATGTGATTAATAAATTCCCCCTTGACAACTCCTCCCATTTCATCCTGAGCACCCCAATTTAAGATTTTCTATATAATACTTAAAGTATATGAGGACTTAAATCATTCTCCTACATATGAAATTGATTGATTGCAAAAGCATTGCTTGAATAGGTCATTTGCTGGATGAATTTTCCATAGTCAAAAGATGTCCTTACCACTTATATATATCAGAAGAGGATCTTAGTTTGGTAGTAAGCTGACTCCATTTATTTGTTGCAGACAAGAATATTGCTCCCTACTGGGAAGCTATGGATGGACGTTTAGTCAAGAAAGTGGAACTGCAGCCAAGTTCAGAGGAATATCAGGATGTTGTAAAGAATTTCTATAAGACAGCTGGGAACTACAGAATTGTCAAAGTAAGTTGTGATCTTCTTGAATACTTCGCTATTAAGATTACAGGTAGTCCTCCCTTACCGACTACTTGTTTGACAATGGTTTGAAGTTACAATGGCCTTTATGACCTGTACTTGTGTTTACAACTGTCGCAAACCATCGCACCACCCCCATGGTCATGTGATCCTGATTTGCAACCTTTTTTGCAACAGGTGTTAAGCAAATGAGGTGGTCATTAAGCGAATTGGGTGGTCATTAAGTGAATTCTGGCAAGAAAATCCATTGAGGAAGCTGGATTTGCTTAACAACCATGTGATTCACTTAACAACCATTGTAAAAATGGTTGTAAAATCAGGTCCGGTCACATGGTGACTTGCTTAATGACTGCCCTGCTTAACAACCAATTTTCCAGTCCCTATTGTGGTCGTTAAGCAAGGACTACCTGTAGTTAACATAGACTCAGAGGACTGAAATTGACAATTGCTTAATTAATTCCTAGTTAACTCTATGTGTATTTTTAGGTAGTTAATCAGCTCAGTGACCTCATCCCATCCTTTAAATCAGATGATAAAATTCAGGTAATGGATAAGAAGCACAGAACGAGCACAAATCAGAAAAAAAAAAAAAAGACAGAGTAATTATTTCTAGATTATTTAAGCAAGAGAGCCTAATCATATATTATAGTAGTGCCATACTAATTTTCCCAGATATCTTCAAATATGAGATAATTGAGAAAACAGCTGTCTTTTCGGTTTTGGGGGGTTAAGCTTTCTTTCCTTTTTAAAAAAAGTTGAGATTTGATATAGCTCATTTCATGGTAAACTGTGTGATGTCTGATGGTCATTTACACATATAAATGTTGGTAGCAAAAAGTAACAAAACTCCAGGTCGGTTCTATTATACTTTTCTCAATCTACAATTTAAGATGTGCAAAAATAACCCTGTGACTCAGTTTCTGTACTTACTTTGGCTTTTCTTTTTGTAGTCTCAGACACACAGGGCTCAGTACAATAAAATGACTCACCGAGGTTCCTGCCCTTTTCACATAGGTGGAGAGGATCCAAAACCGGTATCTGTGGGTTTCTTATTGCTGGAAACAAAGCTGGATGGAGAAGAGGAATCCAGAAAGGACACAGAATGAACTCATTCTCTATCATGGGACACAGCCAGAGAATCACTCTTCTATTTGTGAGATTGGCTTCAAGAATGCTTTCCGGAAGGGTAAGAGATTGAGAAAGGTGTTCCCGTTGCCCTTTCTCAAAACCTGTCTAGTTCACTATCCTTGAGCAATAACCAACCCTGGAAAGAGTCTAAGGTGGTCCTAGACATGATTATTTTGCTGCTTCTGTTGTCCTAACTTCAAGTGTTGCTAGAAGAGAGACAATAAAAAGAGTGAGGGACCAGAAGAAGGAATAGTATCTGTATAATTTAAGGACAGTCAAGACAGGAATGACATGAGAAAGCAGATACCACAGAAGAAGAGACTTAAGATTGTGGAGAGCTCTCTGATAAGCTTCACTTTCTGAACATTGAACAAATGCAAAACAGTTGTTTTTAGTGCCTATAGAAGAAGAGTCTTATTTCAAGTATAAAAAGCAAACTATTTCTTGTTTAAAGCATAAACCTCAAACTATTTACATTTGCAGCCCTGTAACTTATACTGTTTTTAGAATGAAATCACCAAAATGCTATCCTTCCCTCCAGTTGATGGAAGTGTCATATTTCAGCACTTCTCCTTCCATCAATTTTTGTTTGCTTTTATTTGCAACTGAGAAGTTGACCTGCTCTAATTCTGAGAAGTATCCTGGAAATATGAATTCTATGGACAAATGTTCATGTCTTGAATATTGCTAATTCTAAATGTGCATATCATTTGAGTCTATGAGGACTAAAAATATGGCAAGCATATTTGACCTCATTAAAACGTATCACATTTCCAAGATCTAATGCAAGATCAAGGGTTCATGAATACAAGATCCATACTTGTCATCTGTATATAATTAATATATGTAAATTCATGGTATTCTGACTGTGTTGGTTTTGAATACAAATACAGGATGCTTAAACAAAAAAAATAAGTCAAATGACACCAATGAGTCTTCTAGTTTTGTTTTTTTTAATGTTGATCAGGAGGAAATGGACTCATGTCATACCTTGTGTACTGAACACTGAGAAATGATGGAGTAACTATACAACAAGCATGATGGTCTCTTTTGTTTCTTTCTAGAAGGTGTATTTGGACAAGGCATTTATTTTTCCATGACTGCTGACCTTTCTGTGTCCTATGCCAGACCAGATCTTCGAGGGCTCCAATACATTTTTCAAGCACGGGTTCTGACTGGGGAGTATGTTTTAGGGAATCAAAGTATGGTGTTGCCTCCAGTGAAGCAAGGGGGAAAAAGCCGGTATGATAGTTTAGTGAATGTTCTTGAGAAGCCAAACATTTTTGTGATATTCTTTGATGATCATGCATACCCTGAATACTTGATCACCTTCTGTGGCCCAACACAGTTCTGAGGGAAGAGAAACAATATAAGTGGAATACAAGTGGAATCAAATAGATTCTATGTCGTGAAGAAAATGGATTCCAGGCGGGAACTGGGCAGGATTTCTTCAGGGTGTATATAGTGTATTGGTTGGGGCGAGGGAGGTTTGGGGGAGGGATAATGAAACATGCAATTCAGTTTCAGGTGAGGCCATATCATCTGGAATTGGTTTGTGGGGCATCCTCATGTCAGGACAAAGAGGCTGTATGAATGTATAAATGAATTGTACAGTTCCTAACAAATCCTCCTAAACCCAACCCAGTTTACATGTGTAATACAGCTTTGCAATTCTCAGCCTCCAAAAATATTAAGTGCAATTTTGGTCACAGGCCACCTATCCTTGTTTGTTTTGTCCATCTTTCTAAAATCACCCATGTAACAGAATCTCAGCCTCCAAAAATATTAAGTGCAATTTTGGTCACAGGCCACCTATCCTTGTTTGTTTTGTCCATCTTTCTAAAATCACCCATGTAACAGAATCTCAGCCTCCAAAAATATTAAGTGCAATTTTGGTCACAGGCCACCTATCCTTGTTTGTTTTGTCCATCTTTCTAAAATCACCCATGTAACAGAAGAAATGGAGGGGACACAATTACAGAATGAAGATTTGGGTTCCAAAACTTTTCTCCTCTCACTGTCAAATATACAATCTTTCTGGCTATTGCTCATTTCTGCTTCAGGTATGTCAACTTTTCTAAAACCCACATGCAAACAATAAACTCTGTACAGTACGATTAATGTTTTGTTTTTATTCCACAAGACAAATGTAAAACTGTAGATGGCTTTGAGAGTTGGGATCTACAGTGTTTGCAGGGAGAAAAAATTATTGGGTGGCTCTGTTTTAATGCTGGGTATATTTTTACATCCAACCAATTTTTACACTAACACTCTTACAGTCAAGAAGCAAAGGAGACCAAGCACACACACAGTTGGAGAACAGTGAAACAGTATCTGATTTTTTCTTAGTATTTTAAGTTAGCTGTCAGGACTGGATCCAAAATGAAATAATGTACCAAAAAAAAGGGCCTCTGCTCATCCTCATGAAATATTTATTATTTATTTTTTCTACCCTGCCTTTTCTTCAAGAGGTAATAGTACTGTCTCTTAAACATTTTTTCTGCATAATAACCCTTTGAGACAGGTTGAGCTGAGAGATAGTCCAAGTTAACCACAGAGTTTCCTCTCCTTTCAGTACCTTAATTACCACATGGCTATTTCTGTCCCATATTGAGTCTATTATTGCACATCTGCAATCACAGGGTCCTTCTCATGAGTAACACAGCTAATGAACTATATATAGGTGGCTTCTCTATAGGGTTTTTTTTTTTTTTTTTTGTAATTGTG